TTATGAAGACAGTCCTGGTTATGACACACTTAACAATGCCATGCTTACCTCAGTAATATCTAAGTCAGACACTGAATATTTGTTTTATTCAAGACTTTATATTTTCTTAGGATTAGAAACACTTTCATGGGTAGCACATGAAGTAGTTATCAACACTTGAGAGTCACTCTGTAGTTTAATAAACCTGCCTTACATCATAAAACGAGCTTTGCAAGTTTGCTGAGTACTCAATTTTTTTTTTTTTTTGAGTCGGAGTCTCACTCTGTCGCCTAGACTGAAGTGCAGTGGCACACTCATGGTCCCCATCGTCGACCTGCTGGGCTCTGGAGATCCTTCCACCTCAGCCTCCCAAGTAGCCGGAACTACAGGTGTTTGCTACCATGCCCGGCTAATTTTTTTTTTTTTTTTTTTTGTAGAGATGAGGTCTTGCCAAGTTGCCCAGGTTGTTCTCGAACCCATGGGCATACTCAATTCTTAAAAGGCTGTATTTGCTGGGCACGATGGCTCACATCTATAATCTCAGAACATTGGGAGACCGAAGCGGGCAGATTTCTGGAGCCCATGAGTTTGAGCCTAGGCAACAGAGCCGGTCTTGTCTCTACAAAAAATCAAAACATTAGCCAAGTATGGTTGTGCATGCTTTTAGTCCCAGCTACTCAGGAGGCTGAGGCAGAAGGATCACTTGAGCCTGGGAGTTTGAGGATGTGTGAGCTATGATTGTGCCACTGCACTCCAGTATGGGTGACAGAGTGAGTCCCTGACTCAAAAAATATTAAAAAATGTAAAAAGGCTGTATCTAAAATGAGTGTTTCAAACTAAATCAAATAAACTTTTCTAATGTAAGTTAGTACGATATAGACATAGGATCATGTAAAAGCATTCCTAGATGAAATATATTATAACAGAGATCAAATTATCACAAAGGTAGATATCCAAATTAAAGCATTTCAAGTAAAAAAAATGTAAAGAACAATAAGGATATTTATTTTTCTTTTCATGGAGGCTGAGAAGTTTGTGAATTTTCTTTTTTAAATAAAAAAATAGAGAAAAATGTTCAACATAGTCCCTTACTATAAGATACTACAGAAATAAAACTTTTAGTGAAATCATAAATGATTTAAATTTTGTAAAGGAATGAAATTAAATAATAAAATTTTAATTTACAATTTACATAAAATGACTTATTTCAAAGTTAACAATTATGGATTTGTTGGCCACAGATTTATTCAGTGTTTTCCCCTGTTTGATTTTTGGCTCACACTTCTTATTGCTTGTTTTTCCTTTTGTGGTGTTTTATTCTCGGACTATATAAACATAAAGTTTCTTGTACAAGCTGAAACTATGGAAAAACACAAAGACAGAAATTAAAATAACTCATAATTCTATCATCCAAAGATATTTACCTATAATGTTTTGATGAATTAACCTCCAAACAATTAAAATCTCAAATAATATGAAATTCTACTCTTTAGACTGCTTCATAATCTGAATGTATTACAAAAAATTTTCCATATTATTAAATATTCCTCTAATGCATTTTATTGGTTATATAATTGTCCATTATATAGATTGTATATATATATAGCTCATTAAAGTAAACCCATATTTCTGTACATTTCCCAATCCTTTTAGAATTTTCTACTTTTAGTTTTTTTAATCTCTTGGAGTGATGAGTCTTACACACTTACTAACCTTAACTACATAAATTCTTCTGTTATTTACCCTAAGACTTTGATCCATGTTTACTGAGAGCAACCTATTTAGCTGTATGTACGTACTCTTTTGAAAAGAGTGTAACACAATACTTGGCATAAATGATAAGTAATCCCCACTAGATAATTAAAATAATGACTAAACAAATGAATGGACCCTTCCTTCAAGCTTCAGGGAGTATCCTGGGTTCTAACATTTTGGTATTTGATGAATTCTGTTATGTTCAACATTTCTACTTCTATGATTTTTACCAACTTTTTCAGGTAAGATAACTGTAAGAGCCTCTTTCTTTCTGATCAGAAGAAACTCTAATCCCTATCCCTTCTCCTTCTTGTTAAGCAGATAATTCCCTGTGATTTTTTACACGTTGTCATTGCTGATCTAGTCAAAGCAAATACTCTTGGGTTTCAGCAGCAAAAATAACTTCCTTCCCCAACTTTTGTCGATGTAATAATGTGTTTATCTCAAATTTTAATTCATTTCAACATTATAGAGGAATGCTATTAGTTTAATATTTCCTGACGCATACTATATTACAGATGACTCTTAATCATACGGAAAAGCTTATAAGAGCAATGCTAACGAAAACTATACTGAAACAGTCCTTCCCACCTATTAGACTGACAAAAATCTAAAGGTGTGTTGGCATGCTCTACTGATAAGTCTTTGCGGAACCAGACACTCATCAACTCTTGCTGGTATTGCAAAATAGTACAATTGCTATGAAGGAGAATTTGGCAATAATCGTACAAAAGTTCACATACATTTGTCCTTTGATCTAGCAATCCAACTTCTAGAAATCTATCCCAAAGATGCAAAGACTAAAATAAAAGCAGAGAATACGCTCAAAGCAGAACTCTTTGTAATAGTGAGACTGAACATAATCCTGACGCCCACAGAAAACAGGCTGGATGAATAAACTATGACACAACAGTCAAGGGCATTTATGCAGAGGGACAGTTCTATAAACTACCATGGAACAATCTCAAACATATATTGCTACATGAAGAAAAGGAGGTTGAGAAAAATGTGCGGAAAATGCTTTCATTTACCTAAGAAAGTGAAGGCAATGCAAATATACACACGGAGGTGTTTACATTAAAAAATAAAAATAAACAATGTTATTTAGATTACCTATACAGAGGGAACAGGGTAGAGGGAACAGGGCTCCTTTTTTTTTTTTAAAGGTTTGCTTAAGCTTTATTGAGGTATAACTGATATACAAAAAACTGTACTTTTTTTTTTTTTTTTTTGAGTTGGAGTCTCACTCTGTCGCCCAGACTGGAGTGCAGTGGCCGCTCCCGGCCACCGCAGCCTCGACCTGCTGGACTCCAGAGATCCTTCCGCCTCAGCCTTCCAAGTAGCCAGAATTACAGGCTCAACTGATATTTTGCTTTATTGTAGAGATGAGGTCTTGCTGCCCAGGAGGATCTCGAATCCACGGGCTCAGGCAATCCACTCACCTCAGCCTCCCAAAGGCCACATTTTTTTAAAAGCAAGATTTATTGCAAGGACAGAAAAACTCCCACAGTGGGAGGAGACCTGAAGGGGTTGCCCTCACATATTTAATATATATATTTTGATGAGTTTGTAGTTAACTACAGGCTTCTTCGAAGATATACCTTGTTTTATAGAGATGAATTAGGAATTTTTTTTTTCTGGTTATCCACTGAAATAGCTTACAATCACTTAGCAAGCACCCTTAGCATTCACATTGAGGTTTTAAAATATCACTTGACTTCAAAAAACACTAGAGCTCTTTGGGGAGATGGCTGACGACAGGCCTGGAGCAGGAATTGTAAAATGTGATCCTTTAACATTAATACCATATAGCAAGGAAATGATAAAAAGTCATTAAGATCAAAGATGGAATAATTTCAGCATCATTAAATTAAATAACTTGAACTTTGCCATTGGATGCATTAATAGATGTACATTTCCTTTTGTAGGAACATTCCAACTAATAGAATGAATAAAGAATGATACATTAAAATAACACCATTTCACAATCCTTAGTGAATTAATGCATCTGGCATTGATCACCATCCACACATTGTATACCTCCTGGGAAATGCTGCAGAACAAATGACTTGATTTCTCCACAAATAATTGCAAGGAAAAAGCTTAAAAAAAAACAAGGAAACTTTTAACGTACAGATATGTCACAATCTTGAGGACATAGGTTTAAAAAAATGAAGAGGAAGAGAACAATGGTTATAGTATGTTATAATTTAGGTAAAAAAAGGAATATATAAATATATTTTCTTACATAATCATAAGCTATTTCTAAAAAGATACACAGGAAAGCAAATGCTGACTCTTGTCATTCTAGTGGCCAGGAAACAGTCTATAAATCACATTTTTGCTACAGAACTTTTGTGTCTTTGGAATTCAAAATGTGAACCTATTACATACACACAAAAATTAAACAGAATGAAAATCATCAAAGAAACAATGATCATATATATGTTTTGATTGTATAAAATTTATTATATGATTTTATCGACTTTTCATAACAAAAAGTCAAGCACAAAAACCCTTAAATATAATGAAAATAATATATTATTAAATTCTAGTCAAATACTGACGTACAGAAGACCTAAGTCTAAGGCCTACTCTTTTTTTTTTAACTTTATTATAAAGATGTGAGGTACAAGTCAGGATCCAGTACATAGATAATCTACATGCAGGTGAAGTTTTGGTCTCCAACTGACCCTCACCTCCCCTGGTTTAGGACCAGGCACCCTTTGTGTTGTTACATGCCACCCTCTTCCTTCCCATAAAGAAAATGTGGTACATATATATACAATGGAATATTACCTAAACATAAAGAAGGAAAAAATCATGAACTTCCTAGCAAATTGGATGGAGTTGGAGACGATCATACTTAGCGCTCTGTCACAGAAACAAAGACCCAAATACCATATGTTCCCACTCATAAGCAGGACCTGAACATGAATCGCAATAGCACAAGGGAGTAATCTTGACCAAAACGGACTAGTACCACAGACAAGCACCAAACCAAGACTCTCTCCTTGATGTAACCAGAAGGAAAGAATGAAGAGACCTCAGATAGTTGTCTGCTGTGACAATCACTACATATCGAGTATCTGCCTACATATCAAACTTGAAACATATCTTAAAATGTATTTCAAGGAGTAAAGACAAAAGCCAGTTCAATGGACAAGAGACTTTTATAACCTTAAATGACTTCCTTTACAGATAACAAGGTGCTTATTAGTATGCAACCTTTTGGTAGGACCAAAGGCAAAGTGAAGCACACTTACTTTTTGCTTGCCTCACAGACATCTGTAATATTGGAGAAAAGATGGTGCCTTTCGGTTTTAGTCATTGTATCGCTCAGCTCTTTAGAATTTTTAAACATTCGTATTAAGATCTCCAAGCTGAGTAAATATGAATGTTCAGAGGATATGACTTCAAATATAGCCTGGGACAAAGGAAAAAGAAATGTACTATTACTATTCTTTTAATTGAAGGACCAAATATAGCTCTCAAAATTCTGCTATGAGAATTACACAGTATCTTGAAAAGTATAAAAAGATAAGCATTAAGAAAGTTGCACCACTGGGCAGCCACTTTGGGTCTCCTCCCACTGTGGGAGCTCTTCTGTCCTCTCAATGAATCCTGCTCTCCAAAAAAAAAAAAAAAGAAAGAAAGAAAAGAAAGTTGCATCACCAAGCAACTGTCTTTATATAAGACACATATACCCAAATCACAAGAAATAATCATGGTCCGTTGTGTACACAGGAAAGAATGAGAGCATTTAGATGACTTGATATCACATCCTGAGGTCATGCCTTTGCCAAGGGGTAGAATCTATGGAAGGAAGTAGGTCACGCCATTCATTAACCTCCTGCAGCCCTGCTTTCAAAGCATGCTGCTTCAGGGACAATAAGGATTTATGGTCCTCACATAGAATTCAGAGAAATTTCTCACAAATACATTCCTTCCTTTTCTTTCCCCCTCTCTTTTGAGTTGGGGTCTTACTGTGTCACCCAGGCTGGAGTGCAATGGCATCATTACAGCTCACTGCAGCCTCGACCTCCTGGGTTTAAGTGATTCTCTTGCCTCAGCCTCCCAAGTAGCGAGGACTACAGGTGCATGCTACCATGCCTGGCTAATTTTTAAATTTTTTTGTAGAGACAAGGTCTCGCTATATTGCCTTGGCTAGTCTCGATCTCCTGGGCTCAAGTGATCCTTCCACTTCAGGCTCCCAAGGTGCTGAGATTTCAGGCATGAGCCACTGTACCTAGCCTCTCCCTATGTTTTAATCCAACTAATTTGCAGTCAATAACCACAAATACTCTGGCATGGCTGTACCTACCCTCAAAAGGTTCTTATCAGCCACAGGAATTCTTTCATGTAAACTCATACAACTGAAAGTAATTCCATCCACGTTCAACAAGCCACCCCTTCCACTCTCATCGGTGTCTCAAGAAAGAGCAAAGGACCCTCTGCAGAAACTCTGGGTGTCAGGCACGCAGTGGTTTTCCTGACAAGTGTTACTGATGAAATGCCAACCCACGTAGGTGGACAGACACCTGTGGAAGGAATTCACCTAGCTCCTTAACAAATCCAAATCCAGGTCCTCCAGAAATGGCCATTCAGGGAGAAGGCAGGCCTGAGATTTGAATCCTTCCTGGAGACTCCCTAGTCACACTGCCCTTATCACCCTCATCTCTAGGGCTCCACCCTTTCATGTCCTTACTGAGGCTGGGTGGGAGCAGGGAAGGCACAGGCAGGTGGACAGCCAGCTGCTGATGGGTGGTCCACATTTGATAATTCCGAAGAGAAGCGCTAACCTCAGTATTCAACTCGTTTTTTTTCTGAGTCAGGGTCTAGGCTGGAGGGCAGTGACACAATCATGACTCACCGCAGCCAAAACCTTCTGGGCTCAGATGATCCTTCCACCTCAGCCTCCCAAATAGCTGGGGCTACAGGCATGTGCCACCATATCCAGTTAATTTTTTTTTATTTTTACAGAGAGGATATCTCGCTAAGTTGCCTAGGCTGACATCTCCCTTTTTTAGTATCTGTTAATTAGGGATGTGGGTATCACTAAATGTGCTGGTCTAGCCTCAGTTGTGCTCCAGGTAATTAAGTCATGTAACTATTTGAAGAGCAAAGAATAAGAACATTAAGAGTCTCACTTAACCTGTATCTTGTGTAATTCCATTCAACCAATGCAATTATCCCCAAGAAATATAACATAAAGCAAACTAAAGGAAATTCTGTCACTGGGTGTGGTGTCTCACACCTGTAAGTCCAGCTACTTGGGAGGCTGAAGTGGGAGAATCATTTGAGGCCAGGAGTTTAAGACCACCCTGGACACAACACAGCAAGACCTTGACTATAAAGTAATTTGTGTGTATGTGTGATCTGTTTGTTTGTTTTTGAGACAGGGTTTCATTCTGTTGCCCAGGCTAGAGTGCAGTGGCACAATCACAGATCACCAGTCTCAGTCTTCTAGGTTCAGGTACTCCTTCCACTTCAGCCTCCCAAGTATCTGGGACTACAGGCGCATGCCACCACACCCAGCTAATTTTTAAAATTTTTTTTTGTAGAGATGAGGTCTCACTATGTTGCTCAGGCTGGTCATGAACTCTGGGCTCAAGAGATCTTCCCATCTTGACCTGTCAACATGCTGGGATTACAGGTGTAATCCACCATGTCTAGACAGAATTTTTGAAAATTAGCTGGTGGCTCACACCTGTAATCCCTGCATGTCAGGAGGCCGAGGTGGGAGGACTGCTTGAGCCAGGAGTTCAAGATCTGCCTGGGCAACATAGCAAGACTTTATCACTACAAAAAAAATAAAAAATTAGCTGAATGTGGTGACATGTGCCTGTAGTCCCAGCTACTTGGGAGACTAAAGCAGAAGGATTGCTGAGCCCAGGAGGTCAAAGTTGCAATCAGTTGTGATCGTGCCACTGCACTTTAGCCTAGGTGACAGAGGAAGACCCTGACTCAAAAAAAAAAAAAAGAAAGGAAGGAAGAAAGAAAAGAGCAGACACACACAGGCACACTTTCAGCTTGAAGTATCTGCTCAAAAACATACCTCTTGTCTCTTTCTCTCCTCCTGGCTCACTGTCTGAGATATTCCATTTCTTTTCACCTAGGGGAAAAAAGCAAAACAAAGTTGACCTCATTTACTTTAGCAAACACTTTTTTTAGTATGTAAAGGGTAAGTCTATGCCTTTCAAAAATGAATGAAGAGAAGTTATATAAAATATTGAAGTCACACATGTTAATTTTTGGTTCTCAAAACCTTCAAATAACATTTAATCATATGAATAAATTAGCATAATTCAACACTGAAGAAGTAAAAAGTATCCAGAATACAATCTTATCAAGTTGAGCTTTTCTGCGATAGTAATACTTCTGGGTATTCCTAAAATATATATCAAATTAATCTCCCAAATCATAAATAAAGAAATTTAATAATAAAGAAAATGAACTCTTCACTTTGAGAATTTACCATCCAAGATCACATACCGAGAAAGTAATTTTAACACTACTATTTTCCACAAAAGACTCCATGGAATATCAGTGCTCTTTATAAAAATGCAATCAAACAAGAGAACAAAGTACCCTTCCGCTGCCCAAATTTCAGTACTCTTCTTAATATATTAACTTTGACAAATAAAGATGTTAACCTGAGAAGCTTCCTTGTAGCTCCCATTGCATAACCACATACACAAGCACCATACTTGGAGTAATGTAGTGGTATTGTTGGTTGAATTCCTGTAATTCTATCTTAACTGCCACACATTTTTACTTGATTGCTACAGCGCCCATAATCATTCAGTTTCTAGCCAGGCACAGTGACTCACACCTATAATCTCAGCACTTTGGAAGGCCAAGGTGGGAGAATTGCTTGAGTCCAGAAGTTTGAGACACACAATGAGACCTCATCTCTATGGGCAACTTGATAAGACCTCGTCTCTACAATAAACCACAAAAAATTAGCCGGGCGTGGTGGCGTGTGTCTGTAGCTCCAGTTACTTGGAAGACTGAGGTGGAAGGATCACCGGAGCCCAGCAAGGCGAAGCTGCAGTGGCCGTGAGCGTGCCACTGCCCTCCAGCCTGGGCAACACAGTGAGACTCCAACTCAAAAAGATAAATAAATAAAAAAATCAACAAATCAATAAATTAGCAAAATGGGGGGCCTGCATCTGTAGTCCCAGCTACTAGGGAAACTGAGATGGAAGGATCTCCTGGGCCCAGGAGGCTGATGCTGTGACTGTGCCACTGCACTCCAGTCTAGGTAACAGACTGAAACCCTGCCTCAAAAAAAAAAAAAAAAATCAGTTTCTAAACCACCAAGTGGAGGCTGACCATTGAACTCCTCGAAGGCAGGACCCGTTGTCTCTTCTGGTACACTTGGTAGTGAGCATGGCACATGACAGACATTCCAGTTTTTCAATCAAAGGTTAAATTAGCAGAAGGTAAGGCATGTGTAAAAAACTAACTAAATCCTGCACTTAAGAGAAAGAAGAGCTGAAAGAAAGAAAGTGCTTCCCCTGTATGTCAGAAATTTTTTTCTTTTTGGAGCTGGAGTTGGAGTCTCACTCTGTGGGACAGACTGGAGTGCAGTGGCATGCTCCTGGCCACTGCAGCCTCGACCTGCTGGGCTCCGGCGATCCTTCCGCCTCAGCCTTCCAAGTAGCTGGAACTACAGGTGTGTGCTACCACACCCAGCTAATTTTTTATTTAGTGTAGAGATGAGGTCTCACCAAGTTGCCTGGGTGGGTCTCGAACCTGCGGGCTCAGGCAATCCACTCGTCTTGGCCTCCCAAAATGCTGGGATTACAGGCTGAGCCACCGAGGCCAGTCTTTGTCAGAAATTAATAGTAATAAAATATAAAAAAGTCTTCAAGCATTTTTGCTGTGATACTTCCTCAGAAAAAAATGTTAAAACCATGTTCCCCAGACCATTCTTAAATTGACATCTAATTTTTTTAATAGTACAAAAGAAATTTTAATGCTTTTTAAAGAATAAAAAATATATCCTCATGTTAATTATAAATCTGGGCATTTTTTAAATGTGTTACTATTTACCTTTACATTTATCCAATAACACGTGAAATCCAAAACAATTTGGTAACCACCAGATTAGATTTAAAAGTAAACGTTCCTTAACAGTTTTTGTATTATTCTTCTTTCTCCTTGAAACTACATCTCTATGTCAATTTCCTCCCCCCCAATTTCTTTTTTCTTTTTTTTCCTTCTTTATTTTAAAGATGTGGGGTACAATTCAGGGTCAGGTATACAAATGTTCATTACACAGGTACCCTTGTTGATGAGATGTGCCTCTCCCTCCCCTGACAGTTTCCCTCAGCTGCCAATCCCACCCCAGTCCCCTGGCAGTTTCATGCGACTGCCAATCCCTTTCTAAGAGTATTATGATAATTGTTCAAGTTCCACTTATGCGTGAGAATATGTGGTACTGTGTTCTTTGTTTCTGTGATAAATCACTGAGTATGATAGACTCTAAATCCATCCAAGTTGCTGCAAAGTCTGTATGTTTGTCCTTCTTTATGGCTGCATAATATTCCATTGTGTATATGTAATTTTTTATTTCTTAATGTAATATAATTCTATGTGTGAGGATCTCATTGCTAACTCACTTTAGCATACTTTGATGTAAAAAAAGTTTTTAAATTTAATTTTCTAAAGTTTCTCGTGACCATCCAGCCTTAAGTGAAAAGATTCTCCGGGATTGCATCATCACCACAAATATCATTAATAACCTGTGTTCAAAACAACACAAATATTTCTAATTTTCATGCATCAAGCACTAAAAGTAAAACTTTATTGAGAAAGCATCTCTTACTGAGAGGAGTGGTTTGTGGTGCCTTAATTAAAGAAGGCTTTGCTAAAACCAGTATTTCAAACTGAGCCCCTTCATCTGAGACCCCAGTGGTTTTACACCTGGGAATATGCCACTGTGGCAAGATCTGAGATAAGTGAGAGAGATGCCTCTCTATAGTGAAATAGGAATAGGGCAATTGTAAGAGAGGAGGCGGGAAAGATGGCCTGCCATAACACTTTGCAGATGCAGTCTTAGTTTTAGAAAAGAGAACCCATAAGTTGGGGATATGGAAAATGGTATCCTTAAAACTGTCCTGGTTAAGCATGGTGGCTCACACCTGTAATCCCAACATCTTGGGAGGGGCCAAGGCAGGAGGATTGCTTGAGTCCAGGATTTCAAGACCAGCCTGGGCAGCAGAGTGAGACCTCATCTCTACAAAATGAAACAAAACAATTAGCCAGGCATGGTAGTATGCTCCTATAGTCCCAGTCACTCGGAAGGTTGAGGAGGAAGGATTGCCTGAGCCCAGGAGGTTGAGGCTGCAGTGAGCCGTGATCATGCCACTGCACTCCAGCCTGGGTGACAGAGTGAGATCCTGACTCAAAACAAAACTGTTCCTGTCCATCCTTGTAAAATCTTCATGAACCTACAGTATGGTGCATACCCTAGTGTGAAGTCCACTGGTGTATCATTCTCTCTACATTGTGCTGTCATGGAAATGAAGACAAATACATGTTACTGTCTTTAATTTGCTTTTTGGCACATGTTAGAACACAGTACTGTCGCGTAGAAAGAGTCCTAAATCAACAGTAAAATCAGCATTTACTAGACATTTATCACATGCCAGGAAATATGCTAAGTATTTTACACTGCTTTTCCCGTTGAATCCTTATGAAAACTCTAGAAAGTTGATACTGTTCTTAATCCATTTCACAGATGGGGATAACAACTGAGGCTTAGGATACAACAGCACACAAGTAATAGTTAGCAAAGCCAGGATGCGCATCAATGCCTATTGAACTCCGGGGTTCATGCTTTTAATCATGATACTATATGGGTTAGGGACCCTCTGCTCTCTATGAAAGGGACCCCATTTCCAGGATTGAGCAATCATCACTAAGATTCCTCTGCATGCCAGGTCTGCAGTAGTTTCCATGTGTTTTTCTTGGTCCACCTATATCATGGAATATTCTTAGCCCTACCTGCCATCCTGACCCTGGGTCAGCCTGTCAGCAAGAAGGCTACAGAAGCTTCTTCACACATTTTCATAAGGGGGGAGACTGGCTAGAAGAATTAAACCCTTCAGAACTGCTGCCTTTGATTAACCCTGAGCAGAAATTCCGTAGGATTGCCTGCCTGACACAAAGTCCTGGCAGATGGATACAAGGCGCCTTGCCCCATACAGTCTTGGCGGATGAGGTCACCAGCAGAATTTCCATGCAAGTGGCATCTCCACCCAAATGGGGTTCAGACCCAAAAATCTTAAAGGGAAGAGAATGAAACACCTGGGCTTAGAGACCTACAAAGATGACAGCTAGTTTGCTGAGGGATTAAGAGTACTTCAGCTTATCAAAAGAGGGAGAAAATTCCCTTGTTGTATTCTTGAGGGGGACGAAAAGGTAGTTTTGAAAAAGATAAAGTATTACTGAGCAGAATCATCATCTTTAAATAATACTAATATGACAAACGGTAAAATATCCCTTTAACCAAAAAGTCACCCATAGGAACCAGTGGCTTATACAAAACCACTGTATAGAAAAAAGATATTTCAGGAAGAATTCTTGGATTATGTTAAGAAAACTGAAGTGCGGAAACTTCACGGAGCCTGGAAGTTTGCTCTAGAGAGTTATGGCAAAGCAGCAACTCATGGCTGGCTGCCAGGTGGCTGCCCCACGCCTGTCCTTCACTGCCTGTCCTCCCACCTTGCCCTTCCATACCTGTAACAGAACAGGACCCCCCCAAGATGCTTCCTCCCGAGCCCAGGGGAATCATTGTGTCTACCTGAGGCCTCCTTCCACCGTCAACTCTGCATTAGCAGACCTGAGAGTAGGTGCCAGGAGGCAGATGGTGCTGAACAGGAGAGATGATTTCAGAGACTGAGGAACGTGGAGACATGAAACCAAGGAATGAGAGAAAGTGATCTGAAAAGGGGGCCCCAAGAAGACTGGCAGAAGGCAGAGAAGAGACAATCTGGAGGAATGAGAGTACAGGCACATAATAGTAAGTGGAAATAAACAAAAGAGCAGGCAGGGAGAAAAGGAAGGAAAGGAGAAAGAATGTGTACAAAGTTTTTAATAGGA